GTTAAGATTTTTGTCAAGCAAAATGAGACAACTTTTTATCCCAATGCTCCCCTTCGCAAAAACCTGGATCCACCAGTGATTACATATCCACACACCAGTTATTGTTCAGATCAAGAAGTTCTCTTTATAACTTCTTGTTCAGATTCACCACATGAAGTGTCCCAAAAGGTTGCTCAAACTGGAGATAGAAACATATGCTAACTCTGACAACTAAAATAAACAATTATTTATGCAAAGACACTGATAAAATGCAGATGGGCCACTTTTCTGAAAAGGAAAAACTCTGTGAATGAAAAAATTAATTTGAGTGTTACACCTGACATTGGGATACACTGCCCCTTTAATGGATACATCTGTTTTAAATCATTTTATAACTTTACCATTTAAAATAGTTGAAATTATACTATAATAATCAAACAATAAAATAAAATGAACATAATACAACTTGTCTACAAATGAAAATAACATTATATTTACCTTCATCTTGATGTCTCACTTCTCTTCTTTCAACTGCCTCCCACCAACGCGGATTAAAGAAACTGAAGTTAGAAGCGACACTGGAACTGCTGGTATGCATTTGTTGTTGTTGCTGATCTTCCACAGCTGCTGTTGCTGGATCAATGCGGACAAAGTCGGAGGCATCGGAGTCTGTGGCACATGAGGAACTGTGTGCTCTGCCTGAACCTTCAGATGCCATCATCAATTTCACCCTGAAATCATCCATTGTGCTTGAAATCCCTTACTGTTCAGGCAAGTTATGTGCATAAGAACTTTATAGGGAAAAAAAGGGAATATCTTTCAAGAAATTTGAACTTATCACCTCAGTATGCCCTAACCAAAAGCCTTGAGTAAATTGCAGTTTTGAGGATCTCATGTTCATGGTGTCACTTTAAACTCTAGAATGCCAAATGCTTTCCACGCACCAAAATTTAGTGTTTCAATATTTGATATCAAATGAAAAGCTAAATATGTGCATGTATTGTATAGTTTTCTTTAAAGCTATTCTTCCAAACTTATAAAAACTGCACTCGTGTGAAACAAGTAAGACAAAAAAACAAAAAAAAAAAAAAACAAACTAAAATGATGAATAAATAAATTAACAACCAATGCTCACTGAACTTACTTTAGAAGTTCAATGACAGCATCTGCTTCTTTGCTACTGTGAGGCCTGTGCAGTATATCTTCAGCAAACTCTGCAACATGTTTTTCATCTTCTTCATTACCTCTACCTTGCTCACTTTCTTCCACAGCACGATCTTTTGTTGGAAACAACAACTCAAAGCCAGCTCCCACTGAGTCTCTCTCTGGGGGTAACAGATCTGTAACCAGGGCCTGTGAAGCATTTTCAGGGGCTGTTTTGAAGTCCCGTGAGGCAGTTGCAGGGGGTGCAAGATCTCTGACCACTTCTTGTGGGACTGGCTCAGAGCAAGCTGCATTTGGGACCAACTCTAGCATGTCAGTTTCTGCCAATATTGGAGCTGAGACAGCCCCCTGGGATGCCTCACTGGACACCATTGGGTCATGTGCCTCGGTTTCTGATTTATTGTCATCTTGTTTGTTTTCATCTGAATCATTTACTTCTTGGCTGCCTAAACCTGGTGTCATCTCATTCTGCACATCACATCCTAAAAAGAAGAGTGATCTTAGCAATATTTTGTTTTTTAAAATCATGTTGAGATAGGCCCTAGACCTGGTTCAGTTTGAATGACATCACCAGATTATTAGGGGAACACCATATGTTTTCCAGCAATCCTTCATTTATTATTTATTCCTTATTTAATGAGGATTGCTGTGCATCCTCCCTAGCACAGCTGCGTTTTGCTCAATTAGCTACAGTTAACAGGTGTTGTTACCACAACAAAAGCCACATTTAGATCAGTCATGACTAAAAGAACATTTCAGACAGTAACCTTTCTGATAACAACCTCCGACTGCATTAATAACAACAATGAAACAAAAGGGTGTTTTTGGCTTTAATTCAAAATTATAAAGGTTACATATTACCTTCAGTTCCTTCATCTTCATTGTCTAAACTGTCTACATCAGAGTCTGTATCATCACGACGTTTGTGGTATGAAACTATTTGTTGGTCTACCTTCACAAAGTCACTAGAACTGCTACTATCACTCTACATAAAAAAATTGTCATAAGTTATAAGTTTGAATGATACTTACTGTTTTACCTTTGTCTGTCTGTCTAAATACATTTTAAAGTGCTACTTATTTAATGCAGATTATTAATCAATCTCAAGTCACACTCTCTCTGTGAATGTTGATGAGATTTGTCATAAAATACCTTTGCAACTTAAATATCATCTACTGAATGTCAAGCACTGAATTCTCAGAATATGTGAATGTCTTATACATCTTGAGAGGTGAATCATCACATGATTGTGATATATTTAGAAGAACCTTATTTTCATCTGCTGTACATATAGTATATATCTTATATCCGGAAACATAAGATAAATGGTCTCAGCATGCAATCTCGCAACTTTTTGGACATGTAGTTATTTTTCTTCCTGCTATACAGGAGCAACATCCAGCAATAGCTTCACTGTTATGTACAGTATGTGCTGTTTTAATATGGTATCTGTGCTCAACATGTACCTGTACTTGCAGATCAATAACCTGACAACTGAAAACAGTTTGGATCCTAAGATGTAATAAAAAAATAACCAGAAGATGAACACAGCACTTTGTTGAAGAAGGATCTGTTATTTGCTTTGTCAACCTTAAAAAGTTAAAAGAGTGTGTACATATGTGTGTAAACATGCTTACCTCTACTAAACCCTGATCAGTAACAAGTGTCCAGCTGGACAAACTGTCCTGGTCACTCCCAGGATGGTCAGACATCTTACATCATAAAGGGCTTATACTTGATATCAGAGAGCTATCTGAAATGTCCATTTCATAATGTTAAATATCAAACTTCCACACTTTCAATAGTTCACATTTAGATTTTAAGGATTTTTGGCAAGATAATGAAGTTTAGAAAACATTCACATCTATTGTTTCTATTCTGCATTGATTAGTCAGTGCAATTTAAGCCCACATTTAAACAACCTTTAAAATACTTAGCTTGACTTCAACTGTACAAAAATACAGTTTGTGTTAAATAACTAGGATACTCTTTAGGTTTATAAATATTGCCTATTCATTTATTGTAAATACTACCATATCAATTTAAAATCATTGAGCAATTTATCTCTTTCTTTTTGTTTAATGTGGTATTGAAATATGATACTAACAAAATCCAAACCATTAACTTGCACTTTAGCTAGCCACATGTCTTTCAGGACAATTCATAAGTTGTCTTGACTTGGATACAGAGAATATAACTACTAGTATACATATTCTATGAAGTTCCAATAGCCAGGCTGTTTATTGGTGGTGGGAGGAACACAAGAGTTAGTATCTTGCTTGCAGCTGTGTCCAAAAATTCTTATGTCCAATAGTACTCTTTATGCAAAAGTTTTCTTGAAGTGTTCTCAGTGTTATGTTCATTATTAACCTAATCTTCTTTTGCAAGTGTATTGTAGAGATTGCCATCTCAAATTAATCACATACAGTGAAGTGAAGCTATCTACTAATGGCTTTCGAAACATCCCAAACAGGTGCACTAACAAACAAAAATGTATTTTGGCAAGTTTGTGAATTTTCTAACAATGTTTATCCTTAATGGAAGTGAAACTTCCCTAATAAGATATAAAGAAGGTATAGGATATGGTTATTTCTGGATGTCAAACATATCACATAAAAGTTGTCCCTATTTATGAATTTAAGTTTTAGCTTTAGTCTAATAATGATAACATATTTAACAATATGTTTCTACAACAATGGTATTTACAGTTATTTCCTAAACAAAAATATAAATATAAAACAAGAATTTGGTGATAACAGATTCTTCTAACACAAACCCCTAAACAGTTATGGCAATCATTCTTAACTTTGAAATTGAAGTAAAGAAATTGTTAACATGTTTAAGTGTTAATAATTACACAGCACATTTCCTCATTTATTTGTATCAACATTTTTTGCCACATAAGACACCTATAATATTTATAAATAAATGTAAATACAAATAAACGGATTTAGCTACCCCGCAAAAAATGAAAAGTTCAGCCCAAAAGTTTGCAAGAGTTAGCAATATATATATATATATATATTGCTGCAAATTTTGCAAGTGCAGTTTGCAGCAATATTGCAGCAGTTTTACTGCAAATTTGCAGCAGGCCTTCTACTTTGCTACGGGTTAACATGTACCATATCACAACAAAAACCGTTATCAATCCTATTTTTACTATGTCTGTCCATATTGGCAAGCCTCTGTGCTGAGTGTTGGCAAGCGTCCAATGCTACGTCATACTAAAGTTATTAATGTGCTGTTTCTACAATATCGTCTGACATATAATACGATTTTGTCGAACTATTGATGATGTTTAAACAACTTAAGTTTATTGACATAGAGTTGCCAAAAAGCTTGCGTTAACTTTAATGCACATTACCACACTACACATTGCAGCCAGGCCTAGTGCAGCGCTACGGCGAGTGTCGACATGTTATCTTAAATAGAACACAGTATAAGACATGAAATCAGACTGTCAGCACTACAGTGATACAGATCCTTTCAAAATGTAAAAAATCTTAGACATGTGAAAAAAGCTAAAAAACAAACAAACATCTTACCACCAGCTACTCGAAAGTGCTTCTGTTTTTAATTGTTTTCATTTTTCTCCGCGCCCATACAAAGTCGCGAATGAATAATTTTGTTTATTTGTTGTAAAGTATGAGTCCATATATATACATAAAAGATATCACAAAAAAAGATGATAACTTTATGAATATATAATTCATTTTTAATATACATGTTGAGAACTTTGAAACTCTTATTTTTTGTAATATTATGTCAATTGTTTTACGAAACCATTTTATTATAAAGTCAATTTAGCTGCATGTTAACCAACTACGTCAGCAATAAGAAATCACATGACTGGTCATGTGATATGCCTTTCCTTATGTGGTATTTTTGTTGAGTCCTAAACAACATGGCTGAGTGTGACGATCTCCCACTTGTCATTCCGGTATTTATATAACGTAGCTCTTTTTTCATTCATAGAGTAGAGTAATAATCCTAATAACACGTGATATGTATTTTGCTTGATACCCTTGTGTATCATGATCCTGGTGACCAGAAATGTTACGAGTAATACTCGAGTCTTAGTTCTAAATCTCCTTTTGGTCTTTTACATGTATCATCACTATCACGTAAAATTTATGAGTTCGTGTTTACTAGTACATTTCTTTGAAAAATATTGTTGCATTATTTAACAATAGAAAGTATATTTAATCGTCTAAGCGGAAATGTGTTGTCCTTACGTCTAAATTTAGCAATTAAATATGTTAATACGATAATGATGTATACTAGTATTATACAGACAGCTAGTACAGTTGGAATTAATATAGTAAGTGGAATAAATATAAAGAGTAAAATAATAAATGTGTATGATATTACTGTATACATGATATACTGTTTAAACAAGTTAAACAAATGATGAAGTAAGACTAAGGGCAATGAAACCTCAAAGGAAGAAATAAAGGAAAAGAACTACACATATTAATTGTTCACAAGACATTTTCTGTCGTAGAAAAGTTAGGAAGCTGATATACAGCAGTCATTCAACACAGATAATCTTTTCTCCAATGTTACAATAGAAAATTATTGATTGCTGCTGTCTTTCTGTTGAAAACCTACTAGTGCAAGCATGCCTTTTTTTACAAAGTTATCAACAATCAACAAGGCCCTATTTTGTCCGGATCATAAATAAACCCAATATGTCACTGTCATATTGTGACTTAGGTATGAAATAATTGTCTCAATTTACTATGATTATTGAGAATGTGGCAATCTGGGTTAACTGGATTGAAATGTATTCAGAGATGCCACCCACCTAAAAAAAAGCTCCCTAGGCATAATTCACACACACATATATACAACACACGTGTCCATGCACAAACATAAATATAACTGGCATTTATATAATGATTTTCCAGGTCCAATCTTTGAGTGACCACTTTATCTGTGCAGTGTGTATGTCACAGATGAAGGACAGCCACTTGACCCCCTGCGGACACCGTTATTGTGGGGATTGTATCAAAGAATGTGTGAACAGGCGGCACAAGTGTCCATGTTGCAACAACAGGATCCGAGTAAATGATTTGATAAGAGATCATCAGTATGATGAACTTGTTTGTGAGTAGAAATGCAGACATTCAGTCTTTTTATGATATGAAACAGGTTAAATTATCAGTATGTTAACAATGTCATTGTGAATTTTTTTACCAAGTCTCTGTATTTAATTTTATTTCAACAGGTTTGTTTAACAGTGAAAGGGAAAAAGCAGAGAAAAAGTATTTTGATATCCTTATCAATAAAGGTAAGAGATGCTATGCCATGATCTAGTATTATAACACAAAAGTATGTTGATAAGGAATCTATGAACAGTTATTTGATGAAACAGAATATATATGCATATGTGATTTTGTGAAGAAACTTTCTGGCTGTCACTTTTAACAATTATTTTATTGTAATTCGTGCAGGACTCATTTGTTTATGAATATATGATTTTTTGACAAAAGTTATTATTTTACTTGTGATTAAAAAACTACATTGCAGCTGCTGAAACTAACCAAGAAGAAAGCCCATCTAGTTTTTCACCAGTTGAAAATGTTCTGAAAAGTGAGTAATTTTGAATGGGTAAACACATTTAAGGGGAAATGGAATTTTTTCATGTATTTCCCACCACTAACCATGTTGTAAAATCTTACAATGTGATATTTTACAACTTTGCATATGTTTCAATGTTTTTCACATGCCACACCCAACAAATACCGTCAATCACTTTTTCCAAGACCAGGACACAATTTTGCCATATTTCACACATGCTTGACAAAATTTAGAAAACAGTATTAAATGGTAATTGATAAATTCAGTGAGCAAACTCCAACAATAATCCATTTTGAATGGCATTAGCGAAAAAATAATCCTTTTTTATCATAATTTTTTTTTTGATTGTCAGTATAATTAGTGTTTCTTCCTCTCTACTGTTTGCTTGGAATTGTACAGATTTTATTAATTGACATTGTCTGATGAAGTTTTTACATGCACTTATTAAAACCATCATTTGATAATTATTTCAGGCCATGTAAAGAAGAGTTTGGTGGCACATGAAAGATATTATCAGGTGAGGATGTGTGCTATAGTGCAAGAAATTATGCAGGTCTTATTTACTCCTGTGCTTAGCGTGCCATCGTTTTATCAGACCACAACTTTATAAATATGCAATTATAATCTATGCTGATTATGTACTAATAAAATATATATATTAACTTTGCCAATCAAAATTAAGTCTATCATATCCCACTTTTTGTCAGGAATTAAAACGTGAGCATAAGCAGAAGCTGGCCCAGCTGGATGCTGACCACCAAAGATTGATAGAAGAAGCTAAAATGCAGGGGCTAACAGATGATGGTGAGATGCTAATAATTGATATCTATGACTACATAACATATCTCTGATCCATGATGCAATGGGGTAGACTGTACAAACTAGACACACAGAATAATCTGAGAGAAGCAATTACATGTTTAGTTACAGCTTACCAATATCCTAGGTAAAAGTTCAAGAACAGTCTTTTGTTTTATCCCATACAATTGAGTTGTGAAAGGAATGGGATTTCCCTTTGTAGAACTGGAACACCAAATAGCAGATTTGAGTCAGAACTACCAGAGGCATCAGGAAGAATTAGACCAAGAATTGTCTGAGTGCTCACAGATGGTGGCTACAGCTTATGATAGGTAAATAGTTAGGGGATGTACCTATGATCATTAGCAAGAATAAAACCATTTCAAGATGTTGGTTTAATTAAAGATGGATGCATTTCATAATAATTATTAAAGTATTGACTGTGATTTATCACAAAATAATATTTTACAGTTATAGTTTTGTAGCTTAAAAACTCCTGTATGCATGCATATGTGGATGTGGCAAAACATTTAAACTTTCACATTGTTCTTGATAGTTGTACATGTAATGTATATCTGATCATATACATGTACACATTCATATGTGTATGTGGAAAAGCATGTTGTTCTTGATAGGTGAACATAGGAGAGGAAAGAGGCCATCTTCTGGGTCTTCCAAAAACGATCTGAAACTTTCAAGTTAATATTGAGGGGCATCTAACTTTTTTCTATTGGAAGACGGTCAAAAATGGAGGATGGATCAACAATGATAATTTGGAAGACTGCCTGGATCCACCCCTGTGAACATGTAGTCTGACCATGTACACCTACACATGTATGTTTTCAAGGTGTCTCGCCAAGAAATTTTGTAAAATTGGGGTCAAATTTATTTTAGGTATCTTACAGAGCACATCCCAGACCTGACTGTTCTACCAATAAAGATCTCTCTATGTATTTTGTGCAAAAATGTCACTGTGAAAGATGTCATGCTAAAACCAAGTGACAGGTAAGTCAACATAAAGAAAATCTGTAACAGTTAGGATGTTGCTAGTAGAAACCTGTCAATTTTTGATTACTCTGATGGCTGCTGTCACCATGGATAGATGAAAAATGAACTCTTGTTTTCTTTATATATTGCAGTTTGAAAGAGGTTACTGACTATCTTAAATCACACATGGAAGCTGAGGGTGATGACATCATCGCTTTTGGTGAAAACGTAAAATATTTTTGCTTTGGGTGAGTATCATCACACCATTATAAAACAAATGTAGGGTTCAAACATAACATTATGATTAGTAAATATCCAAATATGTGCAAAATTTCTTAGGCATGATGTCATCCAATGATTTTGTTTTAATTTATAGGTAAAAAATAATATGTCATAACCTTTAAAAGTCCTCAAACTATATTTTGAAGATTCATGTATAAATTAATATGCCTTGCATTACTTCTTCTGTTGCTTATTGCACTTCCAGGCCATTTTCAAAATACAGCATAGATGAGATGACACAGAAGGTTCAGAGCATAGAAGCAGGTGGCATCTCTCTACCAGATGTGACATTACTAGAAGATGACACCCGCCTGATACTTCGTTATGGTTTGGTGTGTGATTTTCACTATTCTTTGACAGGTGTTTTTATTTGAAATTGGGAATGTAACTCAACTGTTGTTAATACGTAATAAGCTTTAGAAAATACTTTTTTAGAGCTTATTTTGTAACACTTCATCAGTCTGTTTTTAGAAAACAGAGTTCAGAAAACACCTTTGATTACATACATATAATCAGAGTAACTGATGGTCCTCCATGGCTAAAAAAATATTAGCAAAATAAAGAGCCAGTATTATTGAAATTATGAGACTTTCCCAATTTTATTTCATTTCTATACATATACTTTATCTGTTCAAAGGGACAAATAAGTCTTACTTAAAAATCTCAGCTGGGTGTCAGACTAGTCAACTTTAAAAACATATGCTATCTTTCAGAAACCAAAAAGCACAATAGTGGTGTATGGTAGTGTCCATTGTAAAAGTGATCTACCAAAACAGTGCTTTTCAGTAAATTTTGAGGCCAACAAGGTCTACAAAGTGGACTATTTCTCTTGCAAAGAATGTGGTATCAATTGTAAGTATGATGTTTGAAGACTTGACCTAGTTTAATATGCATAAAAATTATTTAAACTGTGGAACATGTATCACCCACTACAGAACATTATAGGATAGTAACTTTAGAGTCTTGCAGCTTCTTGTATTGATTTTCAAGCAGCAATTCAGCCAAAGAAAAAATGGGTAAGATTGATAAAAAGACTTTGGGCACTATTCAGTTCAGTCGGTTTCTAACCATCCATGCCACTGGTTCCTGCTTGTCCAGAGACAGTGGACAGGACCATAGAGGTGGAGATAGCTCTCCATGACATTATGTGGTTTATTAATGAATAAAGCACTAGTACACACAAAGCTAAGCTAAGTCAACTTGACAGAAGTTGTGCATTTACATTACTGTTGTCTGCTGTTAAATCTAAAGGTGACTTTTTGCAATTATTTGACAGTGAGAGATTTTATGCACTTAGACTCCTTTCATTATATTTATGAAAATGTATATGCCATATTTTGTTTAAAGACTACCTCACAGTCATTTCAGTAGAGATTAAAGGAATCTGATCATTGTCATTTCAGGGGTTTGTCGGCCATGCATGGAGGTTTGTCATAAAGGTACAATTCTAAGTTGTCATGCTATGTACACATATAAAATGCGTTATAATTGTGGGATATTTGTGTAATGACCTGTAAAACCTTAAAAGATATTTTAATGTGTGAAAGCAAAACAACATTTAGCAATAGTACCAAAGTATAGCACGCAAAGATTCAAACAGAATTTTTAGATTGATATTGATTTTCTTTAGTTGTCACATTTCTTCTAATGTGAATGCTTTACCTTATTTTGAACTTCAGATCATGAGCTTGTGCCATATATAATGAACCATCAACCCACATGGTAAGTGAACAAGATATTGTTTCATGTACAGGCCTACCCAACTACCAGACTCGGCACCGAATGATCCTGAATTCACCGGTAGATCAGACCACACTACCCGTTTTCAAGGTGTGTGTCAGATCGCATTACACAGAATCAGACGCAACACCGTGATAGTGACGATTCTCAGCGGGGTTGAAAAGCATTGCATCACCACTCAAAATTTGTTCAGGGTATGATACTGTGTAATGCGATCTGACACACACCTTGAAAACGGGTAGTGCGGTCTGATCTACCGGTGAATTCAGGATCATTTGGTGCCGAGTCTGGTAGTTGGGTAGACCTGATGTAAGTGCAGTCGTTTAAGCACAAAGACTGCAAGTAACTGTGATTTACAAGACCAAAATGTATTTTGTATTTCTAAGCACTGGCATAACTAACATGAAAAGAATGGTCCAAAAGATTTTTTGTATCCCCTCCTCTCCTCACCAACGCACTGAAATATTCTTGTAACAGATTCATGCCTTAACTCTTACTTAGTGATGACCTGACAAGTTTTTATTTTTTTATATATATATTGCAGGGCATGCTGTTACTGTCCAAAAAAGAAGAAGTGTCAATTACAAGGCAAGCCAACCCAAACATCTCAGTGGCACAAACAATGGTCTGTGAAATAAGTAACAACAAACAACTTGAAAGCTTTGACTTAGGACTGGAAGACTTTTTAAGAGGGCAAAATAGAATTTACATGGATTATATTTCATAACTCTTTTTGTGAAACATTCCTTTCAGCAATGTAAACTTTTCACTTTTTCCAGATTGTTTGATCAGAATTGCTTTGTGCTTACATTTTTGTAGATGAAAGGATCAAGCTTTTCTCTACAAAACATCAAACTTGTTCAGAATCATTGTGATAATGACCAATTAAGGTTAAATGACAATACCAAGCTATTTTAAAGAAAAGATCTACCTTGTATTTATAACTTGAGATGCTAAAACATGTCAGAGAATTATTATGGAATTTTTAACTCAAGAAGTTCTTCTGAAGTAATAAACAAAGTTTGCCATCAAAAAAGTACAACTACATGTACATGTATGTAGAAAATAGTACCCAAAGTGAAGGAGAATTATGCACATCTAGCATTGCAGATAACAACATATGATAGTGATCACTACAGACTACTAAAAATAAAAAGATGACATCTATATGTACAGACGCAGTCTGTACATAAAAACTCTTCTTTTCTTTCAAAATATATTGACTGATGATACATGTGAAAGAAATAGAAAGAAGCTTTTCATTGTTATTATTTTTATTGAATAAATCTTCAATAAGTTTACAGTCTTGTTACATTTTATCATAGTAGCAGTATTGGTTAATGTGATGTGGGCAAAAGGGGTGAAAGAGGAATGATGTCAATGCATAGAAATTATGTACGTGAAAAGATCAATCTGTATATATTTCTAATTGAAATAAACTTAATCAGATAGTCAAACAAAAAGAATATGCAAGTACCTGCATCAATACTGAATAGAATACAAAATAGTTCATTTTAATTTTGAAAGAATCCCATACACTGAATAATTGCACCTATAATAAAGCACCGCAATATGATAAAAGAAGTTTGAAAGAAAGCATGCATTCCTTCTTTCAGATTGGTAAGAGGTCCGTAATGAAGGAAAATTTAATGCAAAACCAGACAAAAGACATTTTTATAACTTAAAAGAAAAAGTACCGATAAAAATTTTTTGAGAAATTCATGCCCGTTTTTAAACCCAACTTGCACTTTTGGCACAACAGTTGTCCCTGCAGGGTTCAGCACAAACAGACACCATTTCTTTGATACAGTGTCAACAAGGCCAAAATTAATATTTCATTTTGATCTTAACTGCATTTAAGGCCAATTAGTAACCACAGGGAGTTTGAAACAACTGATTACAAAACTTTTTTCTTATATATCTTGACAACAAGAAATCTGCATGACTGCATGGCCAAACACAGGAGATTGCAACATGTACACAAAAATACTTTGTAAGCAATGTTCAGAACCAATTTATTGTTTTAATTCTGCTACTGAAACAAAACGGATCTCCATACACAAATTATATTGTCAATAAATAATCAAAATTCTTTCTAAATTCTCTTTTGATAATTTTAATTTTTTTAAATCCTTAAGGGGTGAATCAGAGAAAATGCACATGACCATAGAGACTACAATCTAATACATCCAATTTTCATTTCTAGGACTGTTATCTCTAAGTTTCAATTCTAAGTTTGAATGTTCATATGCATGTATCAATAATTAAGACTTGGCACCCAGTGATTAAGGAAGATACCNTGTAAAATATATATATTTTTTTTCATATTTTGAGAACTCTTGTTTATTGCATTTCATAGAGCTTGTCAAGCACAAGACTGGTGGTGGTGTTCATTTTATGGGGGTGGGGTTTCCATGAGAATGCGCTTACTCCAGCTGGTGGTACAATATCCAGAGGCGGTATCGCCTCTCTGATCCTCTAGTTTGAGAGTAGCACTTGCACGTTTAGTTACAGCTCACCAATCTACTAGGTAAAAGTTTAAGAACAGTCTTTTGTTTTATCCCATACAATTGAGTTGTAAAAGTAATGGAATTTCCCTTTGTAGAAATGGAACACCAAATAGCAGATTTGAGTCAGAACTACCAGAGGCATCAGGAAGAATTAGACCAAGAATTGTCTGAGTGCTCACAGATGGTGGCTACAGCTTATGATAGGTAAATAGTTAGGGGATGTACCTATGATCATTAGCAAGAGTAAAACCATTTCAAGATGTTGGTTTTATTAAAGATGAATATATTTCATAATTAAAGTATTTACTTTGATTTATCACAAAATAATATTTTACAGTTACAGTTTTGTAGCTTAAAAACTCCAGTTTGCGTGCATATGTGAATGTGGCAAAACATTTTAACTTTCACATTGTTCTTGATAGGTGAATCTGATCACGTACATGTATACATGCATATGTGTATGTGGCAAAGCACATTGTTCTTGTTAGGTGAACACAGGAGGATGGAGGCCATCTTCTGGGTCTTCCAGAAAACGATCTGAAATATTCAAGTTAACATAGAGGGGCATCTACCTTTTTTCTATCGGAAGACTGTCAAAAATGGAGGATGGGTCAACAACGATATTTGGAAGACGTAGGATTTCAAGGTGTCTTGCCAAGAAATTTTGTAAAATTGGTGTCAAATTTATTTTAGGTATCTTACAGAGCACATCCCAGACCTGACTGTTCTACCAATAAAGATCTCTCTATGTATTTTGTGCAAAAATGTCACTGTGAAAGATGTCATGTTAAAACCAAGTGACAGGTAAGTCACCATAAAGAAAATCTGTAACAGTTAGGATGTTGCTAGTAGAAACCTGTCAATTTTTGAATGGATTACTCTAATGGCTGCTGTCACCATGGATAGATGAAAAATGAACTCTTGTTTTCTTTACATATTGCAGTTTGAAAGAGGTTACTGACTATCTTAAATCACACATGGAAGCTGAGGGTGATGACATCATCGCTTTTGGTGAAAACGTAAAATATTTTTGCTTTGGGTGAGTATCATCACACCGTTATAAAACAAATGTAAGGTTCAAACATAACATTATGATCTTGTAAATATCTGAATATGTGCAAAATTTCTTAGGCATGATGTCATCCAATGATTTTGTTTTAATTTATAGGTAAAAAATAATATGTCATAACCTTTAAAAGTCCTCAAACTATATTTTGAAGATTCATGTATAAATTAAGATGCCTTGCATTACTTCTTCTGTTGCTTATTGCACTTCCAGGCCATTTTCAAAATACAGCATAGATGAGATGACACAGAAGGTTCAGAGCATAGAAGCAGGTGGCATCTCTCTACCAGATGTGACATTACTAGAAGATGACACCCGCCTGATACTTCGTTATGGTTTGGTGTGTGATTTTCACTATTCTTAGACAGGTGTTTTTATTTGAAATTGGGAATGTAACTTAACTGTTGTTAATACGTAATAAGATTTAGAAAAGACTTTTTTAGAGCTTATTTTGTAACACTTCATCAGTCTGTTTTTAGAAAACAGAGTTCAGAAAACACCTTTGATTACATACATTTATTCAGAGTAACTGATGGTCCTCCATGGCTAAAAAAATATTAGCAAAATAAAGAGCCAGTATTATTGAAATTATGAGACTTTCCCAATTTTATTTCATTTCTATACATATACTTTATCTGTTCAAAGGGACAAATTAAGTCTTACTTAAAAATCTCAGCTGGGTGTCTAGTCAACTTTAAAAACATATGCTATCTTTCAGAAACCAAAAAGCACAATAGTGGTGTATGGCAGTGTCCATTGTAAAAGTGATCTACCAAAACAGTGCTTTTCAGTAAATTTTGAGGCCAACAAGGTCTACAAAGTGGACTATTTCTCTTGCAAAGAATGTGGTATCAATTGTAAGTATGATGTTTGAAGACTTGACCTAGTTTAATATTCATAAAAATCATTTAAACTCTGGAGCATGTATCACCCACTACAGAACATTACAGGATGGTAACTTTAGTCTTGCAGCTTCTTGTATTGATTTTCAAGCAGTATTCAGCCAAAGAAAAAAATGGGTAAGATTGATAAAAAGACATTGGGCACAATTCAGTTCAGTTGGTTTCTAACCATCCATGCCACTGGTTCCTGCAGGTCCAGAGGCAGTGGACAGGACCGCAGAGGTGGAGATAGCTCTCCGTGACATTATGTGGTTTATTAATGAATAAAGCACTACTAGTAGTACACACAAAGCTAAGCTATGTCAACTTGACAGAAGTTGTGCATTTACATTACTTTTGTCAGCCGTTTTCTGCGAAGGTGACTTTTCGCAATTATTTGACAGTGAGAGGTTTTATGCACTTGGACACCTTTCATTATGATTGATTATTTATGAAAATGTACACACTGAATTTTGTTTAAAGACTTTCCCTCACATTCATTTCATTAGAGATTTAAGAAAATTAATCATTGTCATTTCAGGGGTTTGTCGGCCATGCATGGAGGTTTGTCATAAAGGTACAATCCTAAGTTGTCACACCACACATGTAAAGTGCTTTATAATTGTGATATATTTATGTAATTACCTATAAAACATTCAAATATATTTTTAATGTGTGAAAGCAAAACAAGATTTAACAATAGTATCAAAGTGTAGCATGCAAAGATTCAGATTTTTAAGATTGATATTGATATTCTTCTTTAGTTGTCACATTTTTTTTTCTTATATGAGTGTATTATCTGATTTTGTACTTCAGATCATGAGCTTGTGCCATATATTATGAACCATCAACCCACATGGTAAGTGAACAAGATATTGTTATATTTAATCCACCTTCCTATGGGCCTGTGTTAATTTTCATGAGCTAAACTGTGGGATGTGTGTTATTCACGTCATACATATAATATTTCAGGCAGATACATTGAACTCTCTGTTGTGCCAGACCCAAGATTCAATTCAACAGCACACCAAACATCAGTTCAAAGTCTAATTATAAAGATAAAGTTACTGTTAAAGTTAAGATAAAGCACAATGACTGCAAGTTACTGTGATTTACAAGACCAAAGTGTATTTAGTATTTCTTAGCACTGGCAGAAATAACATGCCAAGAAGGGTCCCAAAGATTTTTTGTATCCCCTCCTCTCCTCACCAACCCATTGAAATATTCTTGAAACAGATTCATGCCTTTACTCTTACTTAGTGATGACCTGACAAGTTTTAATTTTTTTTATATATATTGCAGGGCATGCTGTTACTGTCCAAAAAAGAAGAAGTGTCAATTACAAGGCAAGCCGACCCAAACATCTCAGTGGCACAAACAATGGTCTGTGAAATAAGTAACAACAAACAACTTGAAAGCTTTGACTTAGGACTGGAAGACTTTTTAAGAGGGCATAATAGAATTTACATGGATTATATTTCATAACTCTTTTTGTGAAACATTCCTTTCAGCAATGTAAACTTTTCACTTTTTCCAGATTGATTGATCAGAATTGCTTTGTGCTTACATTTTTGTAGATGAAAGGATCAAGCTTTTCTCTACAAAACACCAAACTTGTTCAGAATCATTGTGATAATGACCAATTAAGGTTTAATGACAATACCAAGCTATTTTAAAGAAAAGGTCTACCTTGTATTTATAACTTGAGATGCTAAAACATGTCAGAGTATTATGGAACTTTTAACTCAAAAAGTTCTTCTGAAGTAATAAACAAAGTTTGCCATCAAAAAAGTACAACTACATGTACATGTATGTAGAAAATAGTACCCAAAGTGAAGGAGAATTATGCACATCTAGCATTGCAGATAACAACATATGATAGTGATCGCTACAGACTACTAAAAATAAAAAGATGACATCTATACGTACAGACGCAGTCTGTACATAAAAACTCTTCTTTTCTTTCAAAATATATTGACTGATGATACATGTGAAAGAAATAGAAAGAAGCTTTTCATTGTTATTATTTTTATTGAATAAATCTTCAATAAGTTTACAGTCTTGTTACATTTTATCATAGTAGCAGTATTGGTTAATGTGATGTGGGCAAAAGGGGTGAAAGAGGAATGATGTCAATGCATAGAAATTATGTACGTGAAAAGATCAATCTGTATACATTTCTAATTGAAATAAACTTAATCAGATAGTCAAACAAAAAGAATATGCAAGTACCTGCATCAATACTGAATAGAATACAAAATAGTTCATTTTAATTTTGAAAGAATCCCATACACTGAATAATTGCACCTATAATAAAGCACCGCAATATGATAAAAGAAGTTTGAAAGAAAGCATGCATTCCTTCTTTCAGATTGGTAAGAGTTCCGTAATGAAGGAAAATTTAATGCAAAACCAGACAAAAGACATTTTTATAACTTAAAAGAAAAAGTACCGATAAAAATTTTTTGAGAAATTCATGCCCGTTTTTAAACTCAACTTGCACTTTTGGCACAACAGTTGTCCCTGCAGGGTTCAGCACAAACAGACACCATTTCTTTGATACAGTGTCAACAAGGCCAAAATTAATATTTCATTTTGATCTTAACTGCATTTAAGGCCAATTAGTAACCACAGGGAGTTTGAAACAACTGATTACAAAACTTTTTTCTTATATATCTTGACAACAAGAAATCTGCATGACTGCATGGCCAAACACAGGAGATTGCAACATGTACACAAAAATACTTTGTAAGCAATGTTCAGAACCAGTTTATTGTTTTAATTCTGCTACTGAAACAAAACGGATCTCCATACACAAATTATATTGTCAATAAATAATCAAAATTCTTTCTAAATTCTCTTTTGATAATTTTAATTTTTTTAAATCCTTAAGGGGTGAATCAGAGAAAATGCACATGACCATAGAGACTACAATCTAATACATCCAATTTTCATTTCTAGGACTGTTATCTCTAAGTTTCAATTCTAAGTTTGAATGTTCATATGCATGTATCAATAATTAAGACTTGACACCCAGTGATTAAGGAAGAAATCNATCAGAGAAAATGCACATGACCATAGAGACTACAATCTAATACATCCAATTTTCATTTCTAGGACTGTTATCTCTAAGTTTCAATTCTAAGTTTGAATGTTCATATGCATGTATCAATAATTAAGACTTGGCACCCAGTGATTAAGGAAGATACCAGAGATTCAGCTGGGTTCAACATCTTCTGATTGGTCCATTTTATTTCCCATTTTACTAACTGTATCAACTTTAACTTTCTTGGGTGACACGTAAGACCCCATTCCTGCAGCCCTGTCCGCTTCTGCTTGTGTGTATGGCTCTGTCTGCAAGGCTTTTAATCTGAAATGAAATATAAGAGGGCATCATTCTGTAAAATAAACATCATAAACATGTGGTGCTATATGTCAAACAATGTGGCCAATGAGTATGGAAAGCCGTTTGTACAAAAAAGATGAAAGTATCATTTTGACCAGAATTTTTTTTTTTTGCAAGGTGCTAACATCATTTTGAGAGAAAAGTATTTTTTACAAAGTCGTTTTATCATTTTGCATGTCGAGTTTATCCTTTTGAGATACCGACATGCTTTGCATGAGACGATGCAATACCAGGGGTCGTCTCATAACAATCGGTGGGAAAAGGAAATAATGCATCTAGGGGTCCGTGTATAGGGGGCAAACAGAATGGGGGGGGGAGGAGCAAAGTGATTTCCATGTCATCGGAAAATGAAAAAATGTCCATTTTTCATTTCCATTTGATAGAAATGGCCAACATGGAATGGAAAATGAAACTCAATTTTCGTTTTTTCCATTTAAAATGAAAAATGGAAAAACGCAAATTGCCCTCGTTTTCTGTTTTACCATAAAATGCAAAATAAAACATTAACAGATCCCCGATGTGATAGAAAATATGAATATCGACCGTTTTCGTGCTTTCTTGTGTTTAAAAGGTGAAATAAATTATAAAATACCGTTTTATCTCTGTCTTTGAGGAAATGACAGGATCAAAAAGTGTTCATTATTCAATTTTCAATTCAAATAGTAAAACGGAAGTCCGTTCGTTTTTCTGATTTTCATTTTTTTGAATGAAAATGGAAAACGGACGTGGATGTTTCGATATCTCATTTCTTCACAGAAGGAGAAAGGGGCGTATTTTGTAATATTTTTCACTTTTTAGACATGGGAAATAAGTGGATGTTTCTATTTTCTATCACGTTTGGAAATCTGTCGTTTTTGTTTTTATTATGTCATAAAAAAGTGGGAAAAAAAACGAAAAATAATCTCATTTTCCAATTTTGAAAGGAAAAAGGAAAATCGGGGTTGATTTGTTATTTCATTTTCACCATTTATCAAATGAAAATAAAGGCTGTTTTTTCATTTTCTGACGAAATGGAAATCACTTTGCCCCACCATTCATGGACCTCCAGAACAAAAAGTTGTTGGTGCCACTGCCAGGCCACAAAGCGGTAGATATAGTTCAAATCCTGGAGAAAGCTGATTTGAGACACCTGAAGGCCAAATTCAGAGACAAGGGGTAATTATAAGGCTTGTGGCCAGGCACTAACAACTTTTTGTTGACGGTGAACAGGGACCCAGTCCTGGATGCATTAGTTCCTTTTCCCCGCCGTTTATTATGAGATGACCACTAGTATTGCGTCATCTCACCCAAAGCATGTCAGTATCTCAAAACGATAAACTCGACATGCAAAATGATAAAACGACTTTGTAGAAAATACTTTTCTCTCAAATTGATGTTAGCAACTTGCAAATAAATATAATTTCTTGTCAAAATGATGAAAGTGACGATCTCAAAATGATGTGAGCACCTCGCAAAAAATTTTTTCTGATCAAAATGATACTTTCATCTTTTTTGTACAAACGGCGTTCCATAAATGAGACGTTTCATATTGGTGTAGTTAAGAACTAATATTATGATAAGCAGACACCAAAATTAAAAGGCACTCTACTTACCGCCTTTTGTGTGGTTTACTGCGAAAGTGTTCTGTTAATGCCTGATGACTAATGAAGTGCTTTCTGAAAATTATGAAAAAAAATTTAGAAAATTCTAATAGTGGAAGGTTTATTATAAATATAAATAATAAGTAAAATATATAAAGTATATAATTATCCTATCTGTAGCTATTTATTTTAAAAGTGGTAATGATTGGCTAGGAGTCCATCACTGGTTAAAGGTGGACAAGTCTTGGACAAAATTAAGTCTTCATATTTAATGGCTCTGATAATATTTGATATGGCCATTATGAAAAATGGACTATTTCACTATAATATCCCTCTACGTTGAACATTTAACAGTGCCTAAGTGTGACCAGATCTGTAATCCAGCCTGGTGTTTTTACACATAATTCACTAATGCTGGACTACAGATGCTGATCCTGAATATTGTGTTGAGATGCAAACGTGCATTACCAGTGATTACTACCGAGTAATATTGCTACAAAACACTACATGCACATTTTACTTGCTCAATTAATACAAAAAACCATTAAAACAATATTGTTATTATGCCACACAAAGCTTGCATAATGACGTTGCTTTAAAAAAATCAATAAATTCCACCAAATGCAACTGTGTCAATATTTTTAAAGAACCTTATCATACAACTATACTCAGTCATTTACATCATCATTGACAGACATCGTATTAGATCAATCAAGTTGGTCACATGTAACCACACTGTATATGCTCTTATGTATTGTTCTGTGAGGATTGTATTAACATAAGTTTGTTTGAAAATATTTACTTAACCTTTTTTATTTTTTATTACGACTGAGGAATCTTGAACTTGAACACTCAAAGACTAATCAAGTAAATCACCATGCATTATTTCTGTAAATACTCTTGAAGACCGGAGCAAGGGAGAATGCCTAGCTTACTATTGCCAAACACTGACCTTGTTTATTTTACATCTAAAACAAAAAAAATTTATTTCCATCTCACCAAAAATTGTGTTTTCTCTCTAATGAAAAAAACAAAAACAAAACTTTACAATGATTTATAAGGCAAGATGGGTTGTCTCACTTTTAGACTGCTTTCATACATTTTTGGTACATGACGTTTCAGCCTTATAGCCAGGATGTGGATATTTATAGTGCTGAGTATTTGTTTGAGGCCTTATCCCTGGTAAAAACCTTGAAGTAGTATAACATGTAAGGTCAAAAAGTGAGGTAACAGGAGCTCTAGGAAATATAATTTATGAATAATGCATATTGTTGTGTTATTGCCTGCAAGGGAAATCCTCCCTTAAGGCCTGTTACACAGTACATGTATGTCAACACAAAATGCAAATGTTAGTAGTCAGGGTCCGGTAGTGGGCTATAGTATGAATAACAAAAAGGATAATGCCGCTTATATTTGGTTTGAATTATTATAGGTCTTGTTTTTTTATTTTTTATTTTTTTGCCACCTCTATAAGCTAACGACAATTCAGACAGTTAAGATATGCAGTATGGTACTTTTGCAACTTCCCTCACACTGTAACTCTAATTTTAAATGTTAATCAGAATAAAGATATGTGGTGTCTTTGAACAGTGTCTTACTATTTAAATAAATTAGTTTAGAAATTTAAAAATGTTGTTTTTTTTTTTCTTTTTTAATAAACCTTCAAGCTCTTTGGCCAATGTGATTACAGCAAAATTTCACTCGTGATAACTCTGACTCTCATTATATGTCGAAAGGCATAAAATTTCCATGACATGTTAAAAAACATCTTTAAAATAGTATATGAATTGCAAAACTAATTTATCTAAATAGCAAAGACAATGCTAAAAGTCACCAAACGCACCACACATACAAATTTAGAAAAGATATTATAAATCAGAGTTAATTAAGTGGTGAGGGAAATACTGCAAAAGTGCCGAAAATATATTTTTCAAACAGGTATAGTAAGCTTACGCGCAATGCAGGCAGTAATGCTGACCGCTACCCGGCAAATCGTGATCAATAGGCTGGTTCAACAGTTTCTTTGCATTCCCTGCTTTCATGTCTTCATGAATTTCATCTAAATCCTTCGTTTTTCGTCTTGTTCTGTACTTTTCTTTCAGCGGCTTGTCGCCTTTATGCTGCTTTTTTCTCGCAAGTCGACCCATTATTTCAATAACACCTAGACTAAGTAGTCATAAAGTCGGTGAATACACTCACAGAAAGAAGGATTTGTTAAAACTTATTCTAATCAAATGAAGGCATGCTCTACATACATGGAAGCTGCCATGTTTGTAAGCTCTATAGCACGATGTTTATAACAACTATAGCGCGTAAAATCTATGTCCAACCAAAAAAGTGAATCAAAGAATGCGAAGTTAAAATATTGTAGATGACATTAAAACGGTAAAGGGTTAGATTTACCACCACCACCACTTTTTTCTGAGGCAGAAAGAAGAGCTTAATGGGAATAAGATTTCTACCACCACCACC